TGAGGTCATTTATATGTATTTCCTTCTGCCGTACTTAATTCCCCCGACTACCTGGACAAATCTCCGGCTTCACCATTACTGTCTCCCAGGGGAACAGCACTCTCCAGCATCACCATACTGATCTCCAGGTCAGCACCCTCTAGCCCCCCCCTTCTCCATTACTGTCTCCCAGGACCAGCACCTCCAGCTTCACATTATGTCTCCCAAGACAGCACTGTCAGCCCCACATTTTACTGGACTACCAGGACTTCATCTCCAGCTTTAACAGTTTCTGACTTACATGGCCCAGTATCAAGGGCAGTACCAATCAGCCCAGACTTTTTATGTTCCCATCTGTTGTAGAAAGCTTCCAGGTTTTCTATGAGAGCAGCCTTTGATGTTGTCCTCTTTTTAATCACTTGTTTTTTAGTCCACAGATTTATCTTTCATTTGGGGGGGGGGCATACCCACCAAAACACTTCCCTGTTTTCAACACTGCTGTAGTAGTTCTTGGATATCTGCACAAGGGGCGTGACACCAATTTCCAAAAAATGACAATTTTACCCATGTGGAAAGCCCAGTTTGTTTGGACTGCCACCAGATACACACAGCTTCATAATTGATTTGAATGTTGATTTACTGCAATTCTATAGCAACTCTTGAATATTCTCAATAATAAACCTCCTTAAATGATAGCTCTAGCTATTAAGGGTCTTTCTGCATTGACACATAAATGCCGTTCATTTTGTCAAACATTGTATCATGTGTGAAGAAAAAGTATCTTTTTCCTACAAGCATTACAAATACCTAAAGAGGGTACTTGCATTTTGGTTAAAATATGGAAAATTAGTTTTCAAACATTATCACTAATGGACAGAGTAGAGTGAAGAAAAGATGTATAAAACATTCTGCTGTTTGCTTACCCTCACCCCCAAAATATTTATTTTATTTATCACACTGCCGATTCCCACCAAGGCCAGGGTTGGCGAAAAAGGAAAAACTTTCACCATCATTCACTCCATCACTGTCTTGCCAGAAGGGTGCTTTACATACAGTTTTTAAACTGCAACATTATCACCCCTCCTTCGAGTGCAGGCACTGTACTTCCCCTCTCCAGCGACTCAAGTCGGCTGCCGGTTTCCTGAACCCCTCATAAATGTTACTTTGCTCACACTCAACAGCACGTCCACAGATAACAACCATTTGTCTCATTTCACTCTTTATTCAAACACGCTCATGCATGCCTGTGGAAGTCCAAGCCCTCGCACACAAAACCCTCCTCACCCCTCCCTCAACCTTTCCTAGGCCGAACCCCTACCCTGCCTCTGCCCTTCATAAAGACTGTTCACACTATTGAAGTCATTTGTTTCGATCATTTTTTCTATTACATGTCCCGAACCACCTCAACAAACCCTTTCTCAGCCCCTCTGGACAACAGTTTTGGTAATCCCGCACTCCTCCTAAACTTCCAAACTATGAATTCTCTGCATTATTTCACAACACCACATTGCCCTCAGACAGGACTCTCCACCTGCCTCCAGCTTCATCTCGCTGCAACATTACTTACCCCACCATGCTTCACACCCATATAAGAGCGTTGGTTACAAACTATAGTCTCATACTTCCCCTCTTTGCCTACAAGGACAAAGTTCTTTGTCTCCACAGACTCCTAAGGTGCACACTCCACCCTTTTCCCCTCATTAATTCTATGATTCACCTCATCTTTCATTGGACCATCCGCTGGACACGTCCACTCCCAAATATCTATGGAATACATTCACCCTCACACTCACCTACTCTCTCCCTCCCAATCTGATATCCAATCTTTCATCACCTAATCTTTTTGTTATCCTCATAACCTTACTCTTTTCCTGTAATTACCTTTAATTTTCTTCTTTTGCACACCCACCAAATTCATCCACCAATCTCTGCCAACTTCTCTTCAGAATCTCCCAAGAGCCGTGTCATCAGCAAAGAGCACCTGTGACAACTCCCACTTTATGTGTGATTCTTTATCTTTTAAATCCACGCTCTTGCCAGACCCCTCGCATTTACTATCTCTTACAACCCATCTATAAATATATTAAACAACCACTGTGAATCACACATCCCTTGTCTAAAGGCTACTTTTACTGGGAAATAATTTTCCCTCCTTTCCTACATACTCTAAAACTTGACGCCCTCACTATTCTCGTAAAGAACTCTTAACCTGCTTTCAGTAAAAACCTACCTCCTACACCATACACCCTGCAACAATCTGCCACTTTGCCCCCCTATCCACCTGCTCATACGCCTTTTTCCAAATCATAATGCCACAAAAGACCTCTTTAGCCCTGATCTAAATACTGTTCACTTTTATGTTTCACTGTAACACCTGGTTCCACACACCCCCTACCTTTCCTAAAGCCTACCTTGTTCTATTATATTTTTTTTTTTTAATTATTACAACTGGCCGATTCCCACCATGGCAGGGTTGGCCCGAAAAAGATAAACAACTTGTCACCATACATTCACTCCAATCACTGTTCTTGCCAGAAGGGTGCTTTACACAAAGTTTGTTAAACTGCAACATTAACACCCCTCTTCAGAGTGCAGGCACTGTATTCCCATCTCCAGGACTCAAGTCGGCCTGGGTTCCCTTGAACCCCTTCATAAAATTTACTTTGCTCACACTCCCAACAAGCACGATCAAGTATTGAAAAACATTTGGTCTCCATTACTCTATCAAACACGCTCCGCATGCCTCGCTCGAGAAGTCCAAGCCCCTCGCACACAACTCCTTAACCCCTCCCTCCCCCAATTCCTCAGGCCGACGCCCCCACCCCAGCCTTCCTTCCACTACAGACGGATACACTCTTGAAGATTCATCTGCTATCCTATTCCTCCCGTCTTACTCTTAATTCTTTCACATACATAACTCTACCATACACTTTACCAGGTATACTCAAACAGACCTTATTACCCCCTATAATTTTTGCACTCTCTTTTATCCCCCCCTTTGCCCTTTTTACCAAAGGAAACTATGGCATGCTCGCCTGCCCCAACATCCCTAGGTACCTTACCTCTTCCTTACAATTTATTAAATAATTGCACCAACCACTCCAAAAATATATCCCCACCTGCTTTTAAAACATTTCTATCTTTGTCCCATCAATCCCAGCTGCCTTACCCCTTTCATTTTTCCCCAATGCCTCACGAACTTCACACACTCACAACTGGCTTTTCACTCCTACAAGATGTTATTCCTCTTGCCCTATAACGAAAATCACAGGCTTCCCTATCTTCCATCACATTTAACAATTCCTCAAAAATATTCCCTCCATCTTCCAATACCTCTAACTCTCATTTAATAACTCTCTCTCCATTTTTAAACTGACCAAATCCATTTTGTCTTAGGCCTTTCTTAAACACTTGTTAATCTCACTCAAAACTTTTTCTTATTTTCACAACAATATTTGTTGGATAAACATCTCCACCCACTCTCCCTCATTTGCCCTCTCTTTTTACATTGTTCACCCACTCTCTTCGTTCTAGCATAAGGGAAAAAATCACTTGAGTTCACTACCACAATACATAAAATATTATAAGTATTGAGCAGAACATAAAAGCATGACATGCAGTATTCATTGCAATAATATTATACAGTACTGAGAATTAGACATTATGGCAACACCTGGGTATCTCTTCTCTTACAGACATTTTTACCAACTAGAAGCTTTATTAACCCCTTGACTGTCGCAACCCCCAAAATTCCTGAGGTGTCTCTGGTGTACGCAAAATTAAAAAAAAAAAAAAAATCTTATGAAATGATTAACCGTATTTTCCCGATTGTCAATGACACAAAAAACCTATCCTCGCCCCACCTCCTCCCTCCTCCCTGACTGCGAAAACTGACGGCATCTGTTTTACTCTTGCGAAGTTAGCGACTCGACGATATTTACAAATCCGGCGGAATTCGCCACTTTGAGCCCTTTTTCGGTAAATTGTTGGTCCCAGACGGACAAACTCCCAATTTTAGCTATTTCTTTAGAATCTATTTTTTTTCTATCGATTGAGTACAAGAAAAAAACTGCCCATTTACATTTCAAACTACGCAATATTGTGGTCAGAAAATTTGCAATTTGGCCAATTTCACGAAAATAAAAAATGACAATTTCAAAATAGGTCAGAATGAACAATCCAGACATTCCTGGCTCTAAAATACATTTTCTTTTGTTCATCAGTCAGTTCCAGGCCCCTCTGATATTACTCCTTGCTTCTATTTTGACATTTTTATTCAACAACAAAAATAGAAGACTTACTATTATGCAGACTACTGCAATGCTGTAATAATTGTATAAATAACATCAATCCATTCATGACTGCATATTAGAATGGCTAGTTGGACATTTATTGGACAATGACATCATTTGTTTACTTCCGAACATTGGCAAAAATCAAACATTTCCCCTACTTTGAGCTCCATTTCCAGGTTCTTTTTATAGTAAAATCAATCAAAATCACCTCTATTTCTATAATATGTTTTCCATTCTATCAAATGAGACCAAGAAAACGAGAATACAACCATAAATACTATACGAAAATAGACCACAAAGTCGGCATTTTAATTAAAAAAAATGGTCAGTTTTTTTTTTCTCATTATGCACTGCGTGCTCCAGGATTTTTTTTATATGGTGCACACTGACCACACAGACCCATTCTCTCACATGTGGGCCTACCAGCTTTCTCCTGCTTGATTAGAAGCCGCTTGAATTTATGAGTATATATACGTCAAACATGGTACCTCGTAAGACGTATATATACGGCCGTGACAGTCAAAGGATTAAGTCAATACAGATATGCTATGCAGACAGTAGATGTGGAAATCAGTACGTACTTCATCCTTGCCACTAGTTAGTAAAATTCTTCAAATAATGCCCAGGTGTTGCACATATATCTAATTCCTCATACAATATTCATATTCAATATAAGCCAATATTACATTAAAATATGTTTTAAAAAAAATTTCCACTTTAACATACCTTAGAAGATAAAGGAATTAACTGGCACTGTGAAGAGCATGCACCACACTTGCCAGGACATTCAGCTGAAATTATTTTTTAGCCTTTTCTAACTTAGTATAAGTCATTTTATTATAAGAATATGACAATATCAGTGACAACAGCAATGCAAACAGTGGTAAATGACAAACTCTGAAATCTGTCCATTTTCCTTCTGCTTCCCATAAACTATATAGTATTAACAATTACAATTGGTACATTACAATACAGTAGGGCCCTGCTTTATGGCATTTCGCCTTTACAGTGTTCCGCTAATAGTGGACCCTTGGTTATCAGCTAACTCGGTTTGGCCAGTGTTTCGGCTCCCGGTGATCAGCCGTTATTTCAGTGATTGGCCATTTCAGATGTGTCCATCAGCCGGCTAGGGCCACTTGCACAACAGTTTGGCTGTGTCTCTCGGTGCGTGAGAAAGCTTCTGCTCGTACATCCAAACATATCACTTGTTTCCCATTTTTTTTTTGTTTTTTGTTTTTTTTTGCAGTGCAACTGCGAAATAAGTAACCATGGCTCCAAAGAAAGTTCCTGTGGCAAAGAAAGTGAGAAACACCATGGAATATAAGCGTGAAGTGTAGCAGGCATGCAGGAAGTGTAGCAGGCATGCAGGGAGTGTAGCAGGCATGCAGGGAGTGTAGCAGGCATGCAGGGAGTGTAGCAGGCATGCAGGGAGTGTAGCAGGCATGCAGGGAGTGTAGCAGGCATGCAGGGAGTGTAGCAGGCATGCAGGGAGTGTAGCAGGCATGCAGGGAGTGTAGCAGGCATGCAGGGAGTGTAGCAGGCATGCAGGGAGTTGTAGCAGGCATGCAGGGAGTGTAGCAGACTGCAGGGAGTGTAGCAGGCATGCAGGGAGTGTAGCAGGCATGGCAGGGAGTGTAGCAGGCATGCAGGGAGTGTAGCAGGCATGCAGGGAGTGTAGCAGGCATGCAGGGAGTGTAGCAGGCATGCAGGTAGTGTAGCAGGCATGCAGGGAGTGTAGCAGGCATGCAGGGAGTGTAGCAGGCATGCAGGGAGTGTAGCAGGCATGCAGGGAGTGTAGCAGGCATGCAGGGGTGTAGCAGGCATGCAGGGAGTGTAGCAGGCATGCAGGGAGTGTAGCAGGATGCAGGGAGTGTAGCAGGCATGCAGGGAGTGTAGCAGGCATGCAGGGAGTGTAGCAGGCATGCAGGGAGTGTAGCAGGCATGCAGGGAGTGTAGCAGGCATGCAGGGAGTGTAGCAGGCATGCAGGGAGTGTAGCAGGCATGCAGGGAGTGTAGCAGGCATGCAGGGAGTGTAGCAGGAATGCAGGGAGTGTAGCAGGCATGCAGGGAGTGTAGCAGGCATGCAGGGAGTGTAGCAGGCATGCAGGGAGTGTAGCAGGCATGCAGGGAGTGTAGCAGGCATGCAGGGAGTGTAGCAGGCATGCAGGGAGTGTAGCAGGCATGCAGGGAGTGTAGCAGGCATGCAGGGAGTGTAGCAGGCATGCAGGGAGTGTAGCAGGCATGCAGGGAGTGTAGCAGGCATGCAGGGAGTGTAGCAGGCATGCAGGGAGTGTAGCAGGCATGCAGGGAGTGTAGCAGGCATGCAGGGAGTGTAGCAGGCATGCAGGGAGTGTAGCAGGCATGCAGGGAGTGTAGCAGGCATGCAGGGAGTGTAGCAGGCATGCAGGGAGTGTAGCAGGCAGTGTTGCAGGGAGTGTAGCAGGCATGCAGGGAGTGTAGCAGGCATGCAGGGAGTGTAGCAGGCATGCAGGGAGTGTAGCAGGCATGCAGGGAGTGTAGCAGGCATGCAGGGAGTGTAGCAGGCATGCAGGGAATGTAGCAGGCATGCAGGGAGTGTAGCAGGCATGCAGGGAGTATAACAGGCATGCAGGGAGTGTAACAGGCATGCAGGGGGTGTAGCAGGCATGCAGGGGGTGTAGCAGGCATGCAGGGGGTGTAGCAGGTATGCAGGAAGTGCAGCAGGCATTCCAGAAGCTAGCACTAGTCTTCAATAAAGGTATGTAATACTAATTTAATTGTTAAACAAATTATTATTTCGGTTTTTGGCCATTTCAGATTTAGGCCAAGCTACTGGAACAGATTATGGCCGATAACCGAGGGTGCACTGTATGGCAATATCAAATTATGACCAAAATCTGCTATACAGCAAGTGGTCTTTCAAATACAGTGTGCCCCACCCAGTTTGTTTACATTCTCCGTGAGCACATCTATTATGTCTGGAAACTTTCCAAAATTTCAAGTGTTTTAAAGTTAGTGTGTATTTTTTATGCACGTACTCTGATAATTATACTTGTGTACCTGTACCTAAATATACTTATACACTGTGCTGGCGTGCAGGTACACATTAAAATCACTACGAGTCTCTCTACTCATGATGACAATACTACATAATAATAATCACTCTTGGGCATATTAAATGTCTTATTTTACATTAATATAGACTTTTTCCTTTCCCCCCACCACCCTTATGATTTTTTCTTAAAAAATTATAAAAAGAAAAAAAATTTTACATAGCTAAAAACCCAAAATTACATACACCCAAAGAAAAAAAAAAAACTTGACATAAAAAATGAGTTCGGGATTAGAGTGGCTTTGTGGGGTAGTGTTGGAAGAATTAGGGTTTTCTTTTAGTAAAACACGGGGGGGATAACTGTAAAAAAAAAATTTTCCCTTTTGTTTTCCCTTCACTCTATTTATATTTAATTTTCAGGGATCCTTGTGGGTTTAGTGCTTCCTTTTTTTCCCAATGTTGATAAATTTTTTTTTTATTACAACCAATGGGCCACCAGGCAGGGTGGCCCGAAAAAGAAAAACTTTCACCCTCATTCACTCCTTTACTGTTTTTGGCCCGTGGCCCTGGCCACAGTTCAGTTATAAAAACTGCAAAAATTAACACCCCTCCTTCAGAATGCAGGGGCACTTTTTATTCCCATTTCAGGGCTAAAGGGCCGCCCCGCCCGGGTTTTCCCCGAATCCCCTTTATAAAAAGCTACCTTTCTTACACTCCCAAAAACAGTGTCCTTTAAAAAAAATTTGTGTTCATTTGCTATTGTTAAACTCTGTACGGGTTGCTGGAAGGCCCCAAACCCCTTGCACACAAAAACCTTTTTTTACCCCCCCCTCCCAACCTTTCCTGGCCCCGCCCTTTCCCCGCCTTCCCTCCCACTCAGATTTGTATAAATCTCGAAGTTTTTCTATTTTGTTCCATCCCCTTTAAAGTCCGAAACCCTCAAAAAAAACTTTTCCCCATCCTCTGGATAATAGTTTTTATAATTTTCGCACCCCGCTTTTAAATACTTTGGGCTACAAACCCCCACCCTTTCCAAAGCCTCCCCTTTTTCATTGCTATTCCCGCTTTTCTGTCTTTCTGTGATGAAGCAAATCAGCCCCCTCAAGCTTTACTTTTGCAAAAGGGGTGATAAAAATTCGTGTGAAGATTTCACGGGTGGGCCTCGGGTTTGTATTTTTTTGTCCATTTTTTTTTTTTAACAAGTTGGGTTTTCTCCCACTGAGTTTAGGGTGGGCCCAAAAAAGAAAGAAAATGCCCAAAAAAAATTTTTTCACATGCAACACTTTTTACCTCACTACACATAATCACGTTTTTTTCAGAGGTGGGTCAGAAAACCTATTTACTTGGGGCATTTGGTTTTGTAAAATCAGGTGAAGGGGAAATTTAAAAAGTTTAATTTTAAAAATTATATAGGTTTAAAGTCATCTTTCCATCGTTTTTGTTTTTGAAATTAATGCAGAAAAAAGGGGAAAATGTTTAATTGAAAAAAAATATATCATTTTCATTTTTTTTTATTATTATTATTATTAATAATAATAATAATAATAATAATAATAATAATATCTTTTATGTTAAAACTGTTTTACTAAATATCTGCTACTTATGTTTAGCTATGTTTATTTTCTGTAATTTGCCTGTCACACTTAACCTAGTTTCTGTCTTATAATTGTACAAAGTTATATTGTTTGTTAACTGTATTTTGGCTAGTGTCTTATTTTTTTGTATGATCTTTTGAGTGTTATAAGTGAATTTAATCAGAGGCCTGAGCTTGCTACCATCTGCAGCTCATTAGACTGCCATCCCCACGAGCCCCTTTGGGGCGGGGCAGATGGCAGACCAGAGGCCTAGCTTCTCCCTACGAGCCCTGTGAGGGCGGGGACTGTGGCTAGGCCTGGGGACAGTTGGTCCCACAGATGAGGGGGTACTTGTACCTCCTCCCATGGGAGACTTAGGTCTCGAGACACTCCCCAGATAGGGAGCCAAGGCCAGGTCACCACTACTTGGAAAAGACCCTGGGCCGGAGAATACCGGCAAATAAAAAAAAAAAAAAAAGTCAATTAATTTTAATATATCAGTTTTATTGTTTTATGAATGTGAAGTAGTGTCTTGTTGATTATGTTCTCTTTTTTTTGTAAGATCTTCAATTTTTTGTAGAAATTTTTGCTTGTGTGTTTTTGTGACTAAACCAGAAAAATATTCTTATAGGGTTTAGCAGCAAGCAGGCTACCCCCCCCCCCAGAGATGCCTACAAAATTATAAAGTGCATGGATGACTGAAGAGATACTGAGGAAAGGAGATAGTTTTCCAGAGACTTTGAAAACCCTTGCCCTGGAGGATCAGTCTTGGCTTGTATTCTGGGATTAAGAAATGTATCAAGGAATGTATCAAGGCATTTAAAACAAGGGAGGTAACCCCAGACAGTATGGTAAAACTATGGAGTTCCTTGGGAACTATGTTGGGAGGTATTTCTAATATCAATAAGCCGGTTCTCCTATAATGTTAGGTATTTGCTGCTAGTAATTCTTTTTTTCCCTTTGGTGCTAACTAATTCAGATTCTCTTGTAATGTGTTTATTAAATTGTAAGTGGTTTTTATCCGAGTATGTTTTACTTCCCCCTTTGAGCCATGTATATAAGGTCCATTTGTTTTCAGAGGTTAAATTGAGTAACCTAGTGATGATATCTTTTTTTTGGGAGAGTCAAGCCCCTGATAAGGTGTCTACTGCTCAGTTTTCAGGTCAAGCTACCCTAAGAGCCAGTA